GCAGAAGTGCTCCACAATCTGTGGAGAGACTCCACGAGATGCTTCAAGACCCAGACCTAGCTCAGTCCCTGAATGTCCAGATCAACATCATGGCTGACAAGTGCAAACGCTTCCCAAGTCTTCTCGATATCTTATAGAGCAGAAGTCCTGTGACCATCTGGAGGATCTGCAAGTGGTCTTTGCTGCCAACAAAGAGCTGCAGTATGAGGCGTGTGCCGAATACTTTGAAGGGTTTGACTTACCACACACCACGAAGACACAGATCCTCTGCACAATTAGTCAGGCATATGAAAACGATGAAGAAAAGCTCACCAAAGGTTAACATGGGCAGCCGGCCATTGAGTTTCTCCAGGAGGTCAGGGTGTTTGACCCTCGCCACATCGCATTCCTAGATTACTCCGTAGCAAGCTAAAAGGCCATTCCAGGTTTCACTGAAGTGCAGAGTGATGAATTTGATTCTTACTTCAAGACTCTTGGTCCAGCAGCACTCAGAGCTGCACCATCCGACGTGATGGATTTGGATGTGTTTTGGGATGGCCTACAGGAATAACTTCCTGTGCTGAGTTCCTTAGCCAAACGGTATAAAGATGCTGTCTCAAACTCAGCTGATGCTGAACGCAGCAACAGCATCTACAAACTGGTGTTGTCTAACCGAAGAAGATCAACTACCAACCAAAACCTCAAAGCCCTGGTCTTCCTTTACCACAACCAACGGGTCCGTAGTGGAGCATTTGAGAGGGAGGAGATTGAGATGGAGGAGGAGGAGGAGGAGGAAGGACAGGGGATGGAGGATGAGGATGGCGAATGATTGGCCAGTATTAGAGGCTATGCAGTTATAGTTTCCATTTTCACAGTGGACTATTGTAGTTTCATTCAGGAGTTGATGCAAATTTACAGTTGTAAGATTGCACTTTTTTGTTACCAGTGGGTTAAATCATACTAGTTTCAAAAACCTTACAGTTGTAAGAATATTAGTATGTAAATTTGTTACAGTAAGAGATTGCACTTTGTGCATTGGAAGCACTTAATCTAACAGAAGATGTCTGTTTTGTATAGCTACCTCTGTAAAACAGGAAGCACACATTTTATTTTTTTTTATATTTTATTTATTCATTTTTACAGAAGTTGTAGCATATTTCTTTTGTAAAGCTACAGAACTTGTTTAACTCAATGTTTTGTAAGTTTGCCATGTTTATTAAGGTCTGAAATAAAACAAGATGAGACCTTAAATATTCCCAGCACTTTCTGTGATGTACAGTAGTATGCTTGCTTATCATAGGAAGTAATAGGAAATGACTCTTTACATTAAGGTAGGAACCTAGTGAGAACGGGGTGTTGAATTATTTTTTTCTCTCTTTTTCATCAAACCGCAATTTTTGCAAGTTCCCGCAATTTTTAATCAAGGATTTTTGGCCGCAACAATCACAAAAAAAAACAAAAAAACGCATTTTTCTGGAAGGACTGACTAATGGCGCTTTTCCAATGCAAGGTACAGTACGGCACACTTTAGTGCTTTTGTAGCGAACTAACAAAATATATTAATATCTTTCATTTTCTTCCTCTTTATCCTGAATTTAAAAAAATACTCTATGAACATGTTATTTCAAATGGTAGCGCCAATAGACATAATAGGGTGGCCCCTGCCAGCATGCTGCATGTCGTACGGATATTTACACCGTGTTCAGAAAGAACAACCTAAAAAAAATATGAAATGAAATTGCCAACTTTTTAAATAAATAATAACTTTTTTTATAATAAGCATAAAATTGCATAGCGGCATTTATCTCCAAACATACCAGACAATCTTACGCTATCTGACATCTTTGCTTGAATTTTCGATTTTGCGGTTAAATAACAAAAATTAGGTGTTATTTAACATATATTGCCTGAAATTAACAGTAAGGCGCGGTTATTAAAAATAACAGGTTAATCATGTTGAAATTTGGGTGTAAATTAACAGAAACATTTAACAGTGTGGCCCTTCTCCTATGCCAGCTTATAAAATCTTTTGCTGAATCCCTTTGGAATGACGGCAAAAACATATTTCCGATCGACAAATGCCTTGACCGCGGTTCTCTGTTCCTCTTTAAAAATGAATGCACTGTCTACATCTTCTATACCAGACACGATGGCTAAATTCTCCAGTGGCAGCCATTCTTTGTTGCAAACGAATTCAACCTAAGCACTCTTTGGTGACGTGGATGATTACTTTGCTGTTTATCATCTGTCCATCATCATATAAACCCCGTACTGACAATTTGATTGGTCCGAACTGCTTTGGTTCAGGCATACTTGCTTCACAACGGCTCAAGTCCAGACCGAACTTCCCATCCTCAAATATCACTTTAATGCCAATCAAATAACACTCTAAAATCAGTCAGTACCTGTCAAGTGAATATGAAGATACATTAAAGCTGCCGTCGGCAACTCTGGCTGATTGAGTGGACTTTGGCAACATTTTGAATGTTTACAACTCTCATGCCCCTCCCCCACTAACAACGAATACCCTCCCACAGAGTTCGTGCTCGTCAGTGCGCGTGCTGTTTGGTATATGCGGCAGACATGGTCATTGTACATTTTTTATTGCTTATACGTATAACAGAGGTAGTCAGATAGCACATGCAACAACAGTCGCTTTACTGTTCTTACTCTAGTAGTAGATAGAGTAGCATTGATTCTTCCTAAAAGTCTAACTTTATCCCTTCATCTGGACCTGTTTATCAACCTAATGTTACGTTCACACGGATTTCAGTGCAAACAAAGCTAACGAACCTGTCCACAAAGTGCTAACGTTAGCTATCCATACCAACACATTTGAGCAAACATACTTTGATTACTAACATAACACTAAGAAATAAAGTAACTGGTTGATAAAGCACAATTACCTGTCGAGAAGAAATGTTGCAAGCTCTGCATCCAGCTTAAACCCAAATAAATCACGCAATTCTCTCCATCGTTTAAATGCCGTTCCGATGTGTTATCCTGGTTTTATTACGGGCACGGTCGATTTCTTTCTGTACTTCTTTTTTTTCAGCAGTTTTTCTCTTTTCCTGTGTGGTTTTTGACCTCCTCGCTCTTGAGGTTAACCAAGGAATTGGAAACTTTTTCACCATCACTCTTCGCTACTGCGCGAACTTCAGGCGTGCGCATGTGATTGACGTGTGCATGCACGACTTGTGATTGACAGTCATATCTCACACCCCCCTGCGCTGATTCGACACAATGAACCGGGAGGGGGGATTTTTGCAAAACAAATAACACGCTCCAGGTGGAGTTAGAAGCTCGAGTTTTTTTTTCTAAAACCACTTAATTTATGTTGTTCTGTCGGAATATAAGGTGCGTTCCATTTGACAGGGTCCCTACGCAGTGTTCACTGCTCCCTACTCCCTGAACACGGTATATCAGTTGAAGTGGACTTCACTGACTTCCTGTGAAGTGATGTATCGATGTTCCCTTATTCCCTATGCCGTTTGCAGTGCCCTTCGAACTGAACATGTTCGTTCCCTTCGAATTGGAATCTCATTTAAGATGGCGAAATACCCTGTGAAGTCCACTTCGCAGTCCACTTACGGTCGAATGGAACGCACCAATAGTGTCGAATTCGCTGAATATGATAAAAAAAAAAGTTGCCGACGGCAGCTTTAATATATACACCAAAGTCCTAGTAATTTTCCTAGTAATTCCTAGTAAAATACACCAAAGTAAAAGTAAACATTTTCGCTGGTGTGATTTCCAGCCTCTTCTTTTCCGCCTCGTGAGTAAATAACGTGTTATGGCGTTATACTGTACTTACAGCTAATAAATGAAAAAATACTGCAATTTTCCTGGTGTTATCTATTTATATTTTTATTTTATTTTTTTATTGTTTGGGTCATTCAACCCTTCTGGGCCAAAGACAGTGTTGTGATCTGGGTTTAATATTTAAGCTTGTCAATTATTTTTCCTTAGTGATGTTTATTAGGACTTTAATGATTAACAAAGTTCCAACAGCATCTAACAGACTTCTTAAAGTGTGCAACTTAGTTGGAAGAATGTCACACTTTATTTTCATTTTAAAATGTTTTCCCCTAACTTTGAAATTGTCAGGGATTTATTGACATTGAAGAGTAGATGAAATATTAATGTTGTTTCAAAATGAACTCTATACATCATAAAGCAAACATCATTAATGTTGACATTACATTTCAGTTGTATTTTGTTTCAACAAAAGTCATCACCTTTATTTCTACAGTGCTTCATACAATACAGATTGTTTCAAAGCAGCTATACTAATGAAAAATTATGGAAAATAATGATGCAAACAGAGTTCAATTGTAACTGTAAAGCAGCTCTAAAAAGACAATAGTGTCATCGATCAGCTGAAGTCAGTTCAGTGTTCAAAAGTGATTTAGCATCATCACATTGTTGATCGAACAATATTATTTTTGTTCATTTCAATGCTGATTCAACAGCAGTGATGCAGTAATAGTTCAACATTGATTTAGTAACATTACTGTTGATTTTTCTTTGAAATCTCTTTGTTTCATCATTATTGTGGGTGCAAAATTGAAAAAACATCACTTTGCAATCCAGTGCAATCGCGATGACGCATCTAGTTAAACTAGCCTATACTATAAGGCTTAATTTAAGCTATTAATTTATATGGTTTAATGTAATATTTTTACATTTATAATCCAAAAAAGCTTTAGGCTTTAAGGTAAATCTTTATCTCTTAATTACTCTCACATTTTTTTTAATCAATAATACTTATACAATCTAACTTTAAAATTAAGTCACAATTTAATTTAAACACCATCAGTAACACAAATGGAAACTCCTTAGGTATTTAAAGTTTAAATCTTTTTCCCAAATCAAACATATTTGGGGAGATAATTATTTTGTATAATCTAAAAAAAATAAATAAATAAAAAAAAGGAGCAGAATTTATCTTGGTGTGTTTCCGCCAGTAGAGGCGCTCGAGCAACGAAAGCACTGACACATACCCGGGTGTGTGAGGAGAGGAAGAAGAGATGTGAGCGAGGGATGAACATGAGAGGAGTGGAACACAGCCGTTCATTCTGCTCTAAACCTGCTGTGTTTCAGACGGTGAGTATATTAATTTGGTCATTTATTAGGACTAATCTAAATCCAAAAGATGACACGAATCAGTTCATTTAGTGAATCACTCAGTGAATCGAAATTAACCTACTGATGTTATAGATTACGCTCATGAAACGTAAACTCGTTGCTCTGACTGGTTTTTCACATTTTTTTTTTAGATTATGAGTTGTGTTTTCATTTTATCTCATTAGCAAAAATGCAACCTTGTAAGTTTTAAATGATGAATCTAATGTCAACAACATCAGCTTGAGGAGTTAGAGGTTAAAGTTAGAAAGAAATTGAATTGTTTCTTAACAGATAACGAAACAAAAGCTGTACTGTGGAAAATTATAAGTGGTCTAGGAGCTTAACAGCTTTTTACAGCGTATAACGTGGCCCCGCTCTGAATAAGGTCTATTCACATGAACACAACGTTAGTGTTTGGGTTTTAGTAACCAAACGTTCCATTAACATTTCTCTACCCTCAGTTTATCATTATTATTATTAATACATATGTGTAGCTACATATTTAATAATAATTAGAACCATATTATATGGACTCATATCAGTATTAAACAATTACACTGTCTGACACTCTGTCGAACTGTCACTCATTACTGACAGGAACTTTGTGGTGGCTAGAGCTTCTCTCAGTTTTGTTTTTTCAGCCTCAGCAATGTAAAACACAAACTCCTTAGCTCTGTTTGAGTTCTTGTATGTACTTTCAACTTTCAGACCTTTTTTTCTCATTGACCCTAAAGTACACAATGTTATGAGTTATCATGACTAACCTAGTTTCTAACAAATTAATTAACATACACATCCACACGTAGTCCGTGAGGGGTCGACTTTTCTTTCCTATGGCATGTACATTGCGAAACAGAATCCCCATCTTCTCAAACTCGGCCGACTTCATGTACCAGAGATTTCACCGCCACACTTTCTTGTAGCGAACCTGCTGCCTTCAGCCGTTTAGTCGAAATGCTTCCGATATGACCAATGGACACTTCATGGTCCTTTACGGCAGTGGTTTCCAAACTTTTTTTTGCCTGAGACCCCCTTTTTCCTAAGAAAATATTTAACACATTTAATGATATTATCGCTCTTGTAAGCGTGCAGCAAGGATGACAATATATATATATATATATATATATTTTAAACAAATGGTATGTTTATGCTCAAATAATAGCCTATAATATTGAAAATACAATAACAAAAACATCAGTAGGCCCTTTGTAATTTAAAAAAGTAAGCCTAGGAGAAGCCTATAAATTGGCCCTATTTGAAATGCAAAAACAAAAATATTCATGCTGGTGTGTAGGTAAAGAGAAAGAAAGAATATAGGCTATTATTAAATGACTGCTGTCTGGGGCCTCAATACTTGCATGTTATTTGTGAGGCTTTATTTTTTACGCTTTTGGTGCTATAATGAGCGATAATAAACTTGCGTTTTTTAACAGAATAATGCGTCTTTCGGAAGAACATTGTAGTCGGAACTACTACTCTCTGTGTACGTCTATGATGAGTCAAGCAGGTACTGGGCTACTCCACATCGGCAGCAATCCAAACCAGTGTAAAATGGTCCCAATGTAAACGCTTACTATAGGTGTACCATAGTGGTTCAGGATAAGACAAAAACGCGGATTGGAAAATCCGTTCAAAATCAATCGGCATTGTTTAATTTTGGTCACACTCTCACACCACATGGACTTTTGTTGTCAGTCCATTTCCCCATTGTTTGTTGTCATGGACACTGTTTCATCTGTGAACCTGTCAATCACTTCAGTTTTGCACTCTTTCGAAAACTCCTGTTATAATCAAAGAACAATGAATCTCTTATTTGTATTGACTCTTCACTGTTTGTTATAATGAATGGATTAGTGAGCAATCAGACTTCAGTGAGCTCGCACAGAAAGAAAACTATAGCAATTTGGGTGGAGGGGATCCTGATTAAAATAAACATGTCTGATTGGCCACTGCATACATATGCCCAACAGACTTCTCTATGATTGGCTAGAATGTTCAACGCTGCAACTATTTACGTTGCAAATGTTATGTTTTACACGCTGTTCAGAGCACAAACAAGAATACGTACAGGACTGTTTAATGCAGGTAAAATCAGCGGGTATCTAATTAAGTGCCACCCACAACCAACTAATACCCCTGTCAGATGCCCCTGGACATAAGTAATGCTCATCTTTGGTTGCTCCTTTTAAGTAAAATAGCGTTATATTTAATAGCACTACAAAGGATCGGAAGCAGCAGTGATGCAACCTGTTCAACAGAACACGGCAGTTTGTTTTGCATAACCCCCATTGCCATCTTCCTATAGGTGAAGAAGACAGCAGAAGGAATTACTCCAGGAGATTCAACTGACATTTATTTTAAAGATGGAGTTTAAGGAAGAACCCTGCAGAGTGAGAGATGAAGATTCAGAGGAACAAACAGGTTGGTGCTCCCTTTTGAAGTGGAACACCGTGTCCTTGGATTGACGCTATGGGGAAAGTCATCATTGACTTACTATGGTGAAGGTCGTCCCATGAAATGCATGTGTTTTTCCTACTATGGTAAATTGCATAGGGATTTTTTATTGAACATAGCTCTGGATCACAGTGTCACAGAGACAAGGGGGTGGCTCACTTTACTCAGAAGACCAATCAGTCTTTCAGGATCAGTGTGAAGCTATCAAACCACGCCCTAGCAACCATTGAGAGCACCTTAGCAACAACTCCCATAGACTTCCACTGAAAGAGATTGAAGGGATATCTCCGGATCATACATACTTCAGTTTCATTGGCTAACAAAAGTCATTAGAGGAAATATAAGAGGGTGTCCTAAAAACATGTCAATTCTTTTTGTCTTCCACTTGTTTGTATGCGCGTGTAAGACATACAGTCTGGTGTGTATCCGACTCACGAGGAAGCTGGATATCCTCCTCATCATGATGCATTCGTGGTAAAGAGCTTTGTTCTTCTTTGATTCCTCCCGAGGGATGGTAATCTAGCGTTTGCGTAAGCACGCTCGGCGCTCGAGGAAGTTGGAGGCACTCAGACTCTGATTCCCGATAGCGAGATAATCTAGCGTTTGAATGGAGCGCGTTCAGCTCTCAAGTTGAATGCATTCTTTGTGATGCCGTTGCTGTGAGAAGCTCCACCCATGGTTATTAGGGTTCCTAATCTCATTGAATAATGTGGAATGCCTAATTCTAAGGAATTAGATGTAGAGAGTGTTGAAGTGGATGTTATTAATAAATCTGCTCGCTCTACTGTCCACAAACTGGTGAGTGCTACAAAGCACATGGCCAATGAAATTGGGTGTTTAATGGAGATGGAAAAACCCGGAGATCAGGTCCCAATCTTAAAAGAGTGCCTCTGACACAGGTCAGGTTCGGTGTTAGTCTCAGATAATTTAAAATACATTAGCTTTTTCCAAATGGACCCGAGAAGACTCGAATTCTTTTAAAATCACTTTCTAACCTCTCTGAATCATGGTTGCTTCCACATTTAGACTATTGCTATACATTTTTCAGACTGATCTCATGAAGTAGCGTGTGTATGACACGCCAATTCGTATTTCCTACGAGCTGGAATAGTTTCTATATTTCTGGTAATGAGTTAGGGGATGCTACCACTAGATGTGCTATGTGCCTCTTTTTTGGATGTGCCCTGTGTTGATGCTTGGACTCCAGCTAAAGTATTGTTGAGTCAATGTATGTTATACCCACTATGCTTGTGCATATTCACTCCTAGTGAGGCAGGCATTTCGGCAGCAGGGCGGAGTGGGATTTTTTTCCCCATAGCATAAATTCAAGATGCTATGTTGTAGTGTTGAGTTCCACTTCGAAAGGGAACATCTCAGGTTATGACTTTAACCATGGTTCCCTGAGAGGGGGAATGAGAGCTTCTCATTGCCATCCCATTGGGCCAGCTTGCATGTCTCCTTCAGACAAAAAAAAAGTTGATAACGTGTATTATGGCAACATGACATCATGACTTTTGCGTAAACATATCTCTACGCATTTTGAGCTATCCGCGTGTATGCGCGTGTTTGCGTGTATGTCTACGCCATTAACGTCCGCGTCATTCCGCGTGTCTGAACACGCAGTCAAATCTCCAGTCATAAATGCCATTAACCCCAGTGACGGTTAGGTTAAGGGACGGGGTTGAGGTAAGTCATATATTTCAACATGACATCACGACTTTTGCGTAAACATACACGCCACTTTCGAGTCAGGTGGCGTGTTATCTCTACGCATTTTGAGCTATCCGCACGTATGTCTACGCCATTAACGTCCGCGTCATTCCGCCTGTCTGTACACGACGTCAAATCTCCAGTCATAAATGCCATTAACCCCAGTGACGGGTAGGTTTAGGGATGGGGTTGAGGTAAGTCGTATCTTTTTCTTTCCTAGGATGGTAAGGGAACAGTCATAAATGCCATTAACCCCAGTGACGGTTAGGTTTAGGGACGGGGTTGAGGTAAGTCATATATTTATATAACGTTAAGTCAACGGCGTTCATAAACACGCTGAAAAGCGATTATGCGTCTTGATAGCACGGCAAAAATGGAAATACGAATTGGCGTGGCATACACACGCTACTTCATGAGATCAGTCTGTATATTTATATTACGTTAAGTCAACGGCGTTCATAAACATGCTGAAAAGCAATTATGCGTCTTAATAGCACGCCAAAAATGGAAATACGAATTGGCGTGGCATACACGCTACTTCATGAGATCAGTCTGATTATGGGCACCATTTCTTTGCTAATGATGTTATGGACTGGAAATGAAGTTGGAGTGTGTTCACATGTGCTTCAGGCACTAGTCAAGCTGATGACTTTACCCACAGCGTCAATCAAAGTTGCAGTGTCTCCTTCCCCTTCTCAGGGAAACATGGTTAGGGTCATAACCTGAGACGGGTTTCTTAATTCTCTTTAATGACTGCTGAGGAACATTTGATAAAAACTGACAATAAAAAAAATGTAACTTGTTCAGCTACATTTCCTTTTTCACATTTGTCCTCCTTTATTTTGATTTGTGGAAATTTAATATGTTGATTTTTAGACTCAATGGCAGAGGCTGAAGACAAATGTCATCGGATTCAAAAACCTTGTCATTTAAAGAACGAAGATGGAAATGCAGTTGTTTCAAATACTGAAGAGAATGTCACACACAAACCAGCTGGAAAATCTGGAAATCCAACCGTTTCAAAGACTGGAGAGGATGTCACTCAAAAACAAGCTGGAAAATCTGGAAATCCAGTCATTTCAGAGACTGGAGAGGATGTCACACAAAAACAAGCTGGAAAATCTGGACACAAAGGATTTTTCACCTGCACAGAGTGTGGAAAATGTTACATGCATAAATCAGACCTTAAGCGACACATGAGAATTCACACGGGAGAGAATCTGTTCACATGCACTCACTGTGGAAAGAGTTTCATACATAAAAGGCACCTAAATGAGCACACGAGAGTTCACACTGGAGAAAGACCGTTCACATGCACTCAGTGTGGAAAGAGTTTCAAGCGCAAAAGCGTTCTCACCAACCATCTGCGCTCTCATACTGGAGTGAAGTCTTTCAGCTGTGATCAATGTGACAAAACATTTGCTTTGGCATCTAGCTTAAAAGCACACCTTAAAGTTCATGTAGATGTGAAGCCACACATTTGTTCTTTTTGTGGAAAGAGTTTTTTAGAATTGCACTCTTTAAAACAGCATGAGCGTGTACATACTGGTGAAAGACCTCATATGTGCTTTGAATGTGGGAAGACTTACACTACATCCAGTGCTTTAAAATCACACCAGAGAATTCATACTGGAGAGAAACCATACGAGTGCTCACACTGTGGAAAGAGTTTCTCTTATTCAAAATCATTGAAAGATCATGAGAGAGTTCATACTGGAGAGAAGCCGCACCATTGCTCTTTATGTGGGAAGAGTTTCAACCAAATATCTCATCTACAGACTCATAAGAAAAAGCATTGCCCGAAGTTGCCTCAATGAGCAAATGTCCATGTTCAGATCCATCACTCACAAATAATACACTCACAAGTAAATCATTTTTACATTCAGATTAGATGTGCTCTGTGGAAACTTTTTTTGTTCAAATTTAAAGGGACACCAGGCAGGAATGCTGTTTTTGTCAAACAGTGACCCCTAGAGTAACTGTGGAGTACTTAACGTTTTAACGTTACTGTCGTAAATACCACTCATGGAGGGTGTGACGTGTTACATAGTATACAATAGTACATTGTGTTTAATTTGTCGTTTAATGAGATCTAATATATGTTGTTAGCGGTGAGAATATTCGCGTGATTAAATACATATCCCCATGAACTTTAATGGTCCAGAGGAAGAACTTTTGCCATGTGTGTCACAGGTTTTGGGTTCTAATCCTTACTAATAGTATAGTTTATTTTCCTCATCAACACCGATTGTTTATTAGTGGCTGTATTTCAAGCAGGGACATGTTTTTTGTGCATTGGGTTTTGTGATTTCACCGTAACGAGTCTCTCAGTCCCCGCAACGGATTGAGCGCGCATTCTTTTGAAGACAGCGTGCGTCACAACAGAACACTGAATCACTGAAACTGATCGCAGCTGCAACGAGCACTTTGGTCACTTGATTTCAAAAACAACACATTTCAGATCACCTCTTATTTTAACAAATGAACTAAATGAATGCTCTAGAGTTACCTGAAGATGTTTTATTTGTTTGTATTGGTACATCCGTGCTGCGAGATGTTTCAATGGGGACATATCACCCGCAAATTACGGCTATGCTCGTGTCTGACTCTCTGACTTTCTTCTAAGCTGGTTATCTCTCTTAAGGCTAGTAGTCAAATGTTTATGAGCAATTAGATTACCATATTAAAGATCCCCTATCATGGATTTTTAAAAATGACTGTTCATATGGTGTGGAATATAGCTCTAAGGGAATGAAAACATCCTGCAAAGATTTATATCTGAAAGTCCACCGTATATAAAGTTATTGTCTTTCAAAAGTGAGAGTCGACTCTGAGTTTATGAAATGAATTGTTTTTGAAACGATTCATTAGCTGTTACGTCGTGACGTAGATAGGTCATTGGCCGCTCCCAACAACTGCGCGTGCATACGGAAGTGTAAACTTGAAGTCTAGTCTAGAACACATTCAAATACTTCAGCTGAATAGTATCATGTCGAGAAGACGCTGTATTCTACATTACAAAGACAGTTCAGCCACTTTTTTCCATTGTCCAGAGACGAGCATGTGAAGAATCAATGGTCAGAGTTCATATTTGCAACGCCTGAACCTTGTGTTCTCATCATTTTAATGACGAATCATTCAAAATTCAAAAACCTAAATGAATTCAAATGTGAATTCGCAAGCCGGTTGTTCCTGAAGGAGGGCTCAGTATCCAGTATGGATCAGGTTCGTCCTCCTCCGAATCACAACCTGTAAGTAATATTAATAATGTTTGCTACTATGTTTTCTGTAGCATGCACAATAAAGTTATATTGTGTTTTGTGTGTTGTGTACACTCCGCTCAGCTTCTAAGCGGGGTAAAGTTAGTTTTGTTTTTGATATTCACCAGACATTCATTGAAAAATGGCAATTACCTCCTAAACGACTTAGCCAAATCTTCTTCGCTCTATATAATAAGCACTGTCCCTCAAAAGCCCCCGCAATGTGAGTATCGCCAGGAAAGCTCGCTCTTGACGGAGACAAGTGCACGGTGCACTTTTTCTGACACGTTTGTTTAAACACTATACAATTTTCAACACTTGACAAGCTATAATCCTGGTTCTGGGCTTTCCGTTGCCGACAATCTCTGCCTACGGTTTAACAATAACAACTGACTGGGTCATTTGACCAATCGCCGCAGATTCGCGTCACTCAAAGGAGGTGTTTGGGAAAATGAATCGTCGAACGAATCATTTGGGAGTCGTTGAGCAAATCAGTTAAAAATAAATTCATATTATAAGACAAATAAAGTGTTTTTTTTGTCCTTGCATGCACGTTAAACTGTTTTTGGGAACTCCTAAAACAAAAATAGGAACATTTCAAATACTATGATAGGGGCTCTTTAATTTGCACAGTCACGTTGAGCCAAAGCACCTAAACAATGGTGTTTACAATCCCTCTTCTTGTATTATACTGTATAATGAAATGGAAATGTGTTGTGTGTGGATGTTCTGTTCCAGTGAAGTCCTGACAAAACTCATCCACAAACGGAAAAGACAATGTCTATATTTTTTTGGAATTGTGTTTGCAGGGGTTGTTTATTATTATCAGCATGTGACCATAAGGAATAATCTCCAGGACAATTCAACAGGTGAGACGAGTCCTTCCGAAAATGTTGATTCACCCGTGACCCTTACTAAAGTTTCCATACTATACAACAAACCTTTTTTTCTGGATTGTTTTATTTTAAATGATTTTCTAATTGTACTGCTGTGAATCATGCTAAAGTTTTAAGTGATACACAAAACTGGAGTACTTAAAGTATACGCTTTGAATTTCAAACTATTCCTTTGTCTCTATACTTTGTGCACATTCACACGCTTAAGCCTAATATGCTCTTAGTTTCCTGTTTACACTATGGTCTATATGACCCCAAAATGTATAGAATGATTGTACAAGATCGCAATTCTCGCGCATGCGTCGTGGAAATCTAAGGAAGTCTCGTTTCTGGCCTACAAGGAAGAAAAGAAATAGTCGAATAAACTCGTTATTTTTGTTTGTTTTTTCGCACAAAAAGCATTCGCGTCGCTTGATAAACATATAGTTGAGCCACGGTAGTCACGTGGGATATTTAAACATTTTCTTCATTGACTTTCTGGGCCATCAAGAGGCAGTCCCTTAGGAGCCAATGTGGTAGTTATACAGCTCTCAAATTTAATCAAAAATATCTTTATTTGTGTTCCGAAGACGAACGAAGGTCTTACGGGGTTGGTACAGCATGGGGGTGAGTAATTAATGACTTAATTTTCATTTTTGGGTGAACTAACCCTTTAAGAAAGAAACTGTTTTGTCCATAGATACTCACCAGAGGGCTTTACTGGATGTGGCCAACTGCTTACGCCATAACTTTTGTGATACATTTTGTGAATGCATGTATGACTAAACATTATACAAGACATTAAAAATAAATATTCTTTCAAATAATCGAATTTTGGTAGTTTTTGATGCGTTTTGAAATGTCTGTTGTTACCAAATACCACAGAAGTTGCTACATAAGAAACACCTAAAGGACAAGACTTAGAATCAGATTGTAGTTGCATATTATTTATTTTAATGAACCAAATGTGAAAAGATAATTAACTTTAGAATTGAGAAGAAATTAATTTAATAATATATAAAAAGTAGCAGCATTATGCAGAAATGAACACTAAATAACAATAGAATTTTTTGATTATCACATTGTGAACACTGAACATAAAAGCAATAACAAGCTACAAAAAAATGAACAAGTATCATGAACAAAAATCAGTCCACGCACTTCTGGCACAAGAACACGGTGTGAGCAGAACAAATGGCTCTTTTGCATTTTGTGCAATGCTTATCCGTTTTTGAATCCTTGGCCTGTGGACAAACCTGACACCTTTTTCTTTTGAATGATGAAGTTTCAGTGGAGGGGCCTGGAGCGTCGGAAGCATCTTGTTTCCTCTTTACCATTTCTGCAGAGCCTGGTGCATGAGGCATGCTTTTCCGTCGCTCCATGTGAGGGGACACGCGAGCTTTCCCCAGCTCTTCTAGGAAGAGCCTCCGCTTGAAATTCTTCCCTCTTTCCCATGATGGATTTACCTCCCTCCAAACCACAAAGTCATTTACAGGAGCAGATACATCCAGGATGGTAGAGAAGACAACCATTGGCCAACGGTTTGTTTTTCGCTTGCAACTGTAGCTTGCAACCATCTGGAATATTGCGAACACACACATACACACACAAATTAGTATATCTGCTGGCAAAATAAATGCCACACTGTCACCAACTTTGAAAAAAAAGAAATGCATCAAAATATAAAATTTGTAAATACCTTGTCAAGGTTCTCAACTCCACCTTTGCAACGATTATAGTCCAAGATGACCTCTGGCTTCTTGTCCTCCCTGTCACTCACTTTGGCATATTTGTGGGATGTGCTCATCAGCAGCACATTTTTACCCCTTTTGGGGCACTGGGACACAAGACTGTGTGTCTCAGCGAAGGCAAAGATAGAGGAAAAACAAACTCGGTCCCTCGTTGTCAGGAGGGCAGGTGGAAGTTCAGGCTTGTTTTTCCTAACTGTGCCAACCATTTACGGGATTAAAAACCTGCCATGATTCAAAACTGAAAATAAAGTTCTGAAAGGTTGAAACTAAATGTTCAAAACTTCTAAATCTTACAAAAATTTTTTTGCAAGATCGAAAAATAAGATTTGCAAGCTTGCAAAATATAAAAAAAATATCTGCAAACATTATGATTTTTTTTAGATTTCCTGCTCAGAACTTCAACATTTTATTTACAATGTTGCACAAACAAATTTTCAGTTTCAAATTTGTCAGTGTTCACTGTATTAGTTTGTTTTCCAGGTTTGAAACCTTGCAAATGGTGATCTGAAAACTGGTGTGCGAATGAGTGAGAAAAAGTTTTGAAACTCTGAAAACTGAGGGTCGACAGGGTGAAACTTATTACATTACATTACATTTGCACTCATTTGCAGACTATTTTTTTTCAGAGCTGAGTTTGCAACACCTACTTCGCAGAGATACGCCTTCACAGTTGCGAGCTTGCGACTCACGTGATTTGTGGCAGCGTTGTTACGCAGCTCTGCTCTGAAACTCAGACTGAGCCAGAGAATGTCTAATTGAAGAGAATTGGCACTGGCTGGTTACTTCCGGGTTCTGGACTGGCTGCAGTAACGCGTCTCTGTCCATGCGGGGGCGCTCGCGGTCGAGTGCAGAATGAATGGGAGTCAATAGGGTTTCACCCCCAGAAATCCACTTTTCTCAGGATGTAATTTATTGTCAAGTAATTTGAAAGTTGCATTCAAAAGGGAGGGCTAAGAAAATACACTCAGCTGAAAATTGCATTTTTAAGTTCACTTATCTGTTCTAAAAATCCGTTCAAAAATGTGATGACGTCACACAATAGCAGAATGCTAGCGTGTTCCGGCCAACAACGGCCTGACCTGTAAGAAATCAAAAGGACATAAAGAATAATCAACAATAAAATCTATTTAACGACAAGCAGGTGAAAGAGACACTTTTAGTCGTTTAGCCCCATAGACTCCCATTCATTCTGCTCTCGCCCGTGATCACCTCTAGTGGAATTCTAATGGAACTGCAACCAAGGTGATGCACAATGGGGCTAATAGGAAATGCCAAGGCTCTCCGTTAGACGGGCTCTGACTGAGCGCAAATGAAGCATCGCAACCTCGAAAATTAAAAAATGACGGCAGAGTCAGACATCGTGAACAATGTTTCTATGTGCAGTTTGTCAACATATAACATTAGACGTCGTCTTTTTGTCTATTAACTGTACCTAACATTAGTCGTTCGCGGTCAAAACACTGGTGTAAACACAGTTTGATGTTGCGATTTTCAGTGCCTAGAGCCTGTTAAACTTGAGCCAACCAACCCCGTGACGTCAACTGCACAATGGCGGCGCCCTGGCAGCGAAATATATAACGTGTTTTCTTTTTTTCTTCTGAATGTTTACATTTGTAATGTTTCTTATATAATTGTTTATTATATTGGAAATCTATCTTGTAAATCATGTAAACTTGATTCACTGCTTCATTTCCCCTTTAAGTCAAATTACATTATAAAAAATTACCTTATTTACCTTATTTATTTACAACCTTACCGGTAATGTCTCATGGAAACATAAGTGTTCTGTCGTGGACTCGTGGGTTAATCCTGTTGTTG